AGACTCCCTGCTGAGCAGAGAGCTGGATGCAGGGCTTGATCCCAGGACCCCAAGATCCCAAGATCATGACCTGAGCTAAAGGCAGACGCTTAATTCACTGAGCCACCCAGGCACCCCTGGATCATTAGTTTTGAAAAACAAGGGCTACATGTTTTATTTTGTATTCCTTGGACTAATAGAGGACTTGGCCTACTTAATAAAAGACATAATAAATGTTTACTGATTCTGTGGATGATGTCGGTCTTAGAGAAATAGGATTTATCACAGTTAGAATAGAACTTTATGACCTTCCTAACCATTTAATATGAAGCTCTAAGAAAAATCCTTTGGGAAACCATGGTACCTGTCTTTAATATTTAAGAGAACAGCTCTCTTAGAGAAGAATGAAAAGTCTTTAAGAGGAACTAACAACTTAAATATTCAATTGAGGGTGGGTGCCTGGGTGGCTCAGTTGTTAAGTGTCTGCCTTTGGCTCAGGTCATGATCCCAGGGTCCTGGGATCGAGCCCCGCATCGGGCTCCCTGCTCAGTGGAGAGCCTGCTTCTCCCTCTCCCACTCCCCCTGCTTGTGTTCCCTCTCTCACTGTCTCTCTGTCAAATAAATAAATAAAATCTTTAAAAAAAAAAATTCAATTGAGGGCAACTGACCTGATGGAGTACATAAGGTTTTAGTCTGTATACTCCTTTTTTTAAAGTAAGCTCTTCGCCCAACATGGGGCTTGAACTCATGACCCTGAGACCAAGAGCCTCATGCTCTACCAACTGTGCAAGCCAAGCACCCCTGTATACATTTTTCAACCATAAACTGACCTTCTGAGGAATAGAGGTAGAAAAATAATAAGATACTAAGATATAAACCAAGGGTATAGAAAGAGATCTAGAAGAAAAGTTTCAGATTTAGGAATCAATTCTGTTCTTTCAGGGGTGTTTTACAACGCTTGTATAGCATGCTATTTTTTATTTTATTATTTTATTTTTTTAGGTAGAATCCATACCAACATGAGACTTGAACTCATGACCCCAGGATCAAGAGTCCCACACTCCACTGACTGAGCCAGTCAGGCACCCTTAACATGCTATCTTTATTTTAAGATTTTATTTATTTGAGAAAGAGAGCACAGAGGTATAAATAGACTGCCCACTGAGCAAGGAGCCTGGTGCGGGACTCAATCCCAGGACCCTGGGATCATGACCTGAGCCAAAGGCGGAAGCTTAACCAACTGAGCCACCCAGGTGTCCCAGACTTAAGCATTCTTACGTACCTTGCTCATGGCTGGAGAGCAACAAAATCAGGGATCAAGTCCAGGTTTGCCAGAATGAAAACCCACACATATAACTACAACTATACCATATGGCTCTCTACTTGAAACATCTCTTGTGATGATGGACTGCTACCTTGGGAAGAATATCAGTTCATTTTCAGACAGCTTTAATGCTTAGGAAGCTTTTCTTACGTTGAAATAAGTGTCTTGGTTTTTTTTTATCTGCTCTCAAGCCATATTTATATGTAACCCAATTCCTCTTCCAAGCATTTGAAGATAATGTCATATTCCACTTAACATTTCTCAAGACTAAATCTTATTAATGTTTTACTCCTTTACTCAACATTTACTGAATGTATGTTATATGCTAGGGACTGGTCTAGGTGCTGAAGCAGTAGACAGTACTGAGGCATATTCTCTACTTTTCAGGAGCATCCTGTCAGAGGACTAACTTTGCCATATTCTATTCCAGTCCCCCTCATTTCTTAAACCTTGCACCATCAACTATCCCTTTTTCCTTCTTAGAACAACCATTTATCAAAGACTTGCTCTGAGATTAGGTACTAAGGACATTACATATACTTCTGTGTAAAAAAAAAAGCCCTGTGGTGCCTGGGTGGCTCAGTCGGTTAAGCATCTGCCTTCATCTCTGGTCATGATTCCCAGGGTCCTGGGATCAAGCCGCACTTCGGGCTCACTGCTCAGCAGTGAATCTATTTCTCCTCCTTCCGCCCCTCCACCTCCACTCTCTCTCAAATAAATAAAATCCCTAAAAAACAAAACAAAAACTCTCCCAGTAACTCTCTGAGATAGCTATTATTATCTCTGTTTTACACTTGAGGAATCCAAAGATGAGGGAGATTTGGTAACTTGCCCAAGATCACACTGCTGTTAAATAGCAGCCCCCTGATCTAAACCTGGTTCTTCAACATATGCTGTTGTATTGTACCTCATTGTCTCTAGTATTTTTCAACCTCTCTGGTTTCTTCCCTACAACCTATCAACGAACCCTACCATTTCCTTTCTTCCCTTCCTTTTGGGAAACTCCCTTTTGCTTCATCTGCACTGACTTATAAAATGCCAATTGCAGTCTGATTTCAGTGCTCAGAACACACTATTAAAAATCCACCTCCGGGGGCGCCTGGGTGGCTCAGTTGGTTAAGCGACTGCCTTCGGCTCAGGTCATGATCCTGGAGTCCCGGGATCGAGTCCCGCATCGGGCTCCCTGCTCGGCAGGGAGTCTGCTTCTCCCTCTGACCCTCCTCCCTCTCATGCTCTCTGTCTCTCATTCTCTCTGTCTCAAAATAAATTAAAAAAAAAAAAAAATCCACCTCCATGCCAAATCCAATTACCTCTTCAGTCCCCATCCTATTTGATCTTTATAACATGTGACAAAGTTGACCACTGTTCTCCTTGAAGCTATCTCTTTTCTTGATTTCTAAGTCACCTCTAATTTTCTCCTTTTCCTTGATGAGTCTTTGTCATCATCTACTGGCAACATTTTCCACTCCCATCCTCTTGCCTTATCATCTGTACTCTCTCCTAGAGATGTCTCATCTACTTCTGTTTCAGTAATCACCATGTGCTGGAAACTCCCAAGTCTCTCCAGCTGAGTCATATTTCTAGCTCCCTACTATACATTTATACTAGAGTCACAGTCTCAACAAGTTGGAAAACGTATTCAAAAATCTTTCCTCTAATCCTGTTCATTTTCTATTCTTTCAGATAACAGCATCACCAACAGCTCCGTTACCCAGGGAATTAGCTCTCTCTGTGCAGTATCTCTTAAATTTGTTTCTTCTCCCAGTGCTCCACACTGATTAGAAAACTTACACTATTACACTTACACTTAAACTACTTACACTTACACTATCATAACTATTCTAATGAGTGTGAAGTGGTATCTCACTGTGGTTTTGATTTGCAATTCTCTAATGACTAGTGATGTTAAGCATCTTTCCATGGCTTATTGGCCATCTGCATATCTTCTCTGAAGAAATATCTATTCAAATCCTTTGCCCATTTTTAATTGGGATTTTTGTTGAGATATAGGAATGCTTTTAATATTCTTGATATCAATCCCTTATCAAATATGTAATCTGAAAATATTTTCTCTCATTCTGTGGGTTGTCTTTTCGCTCTCTTTGATAATGTCATTTGATGCACAAAAGTTTTTAATTTTGAAGAAGTCCAACTTACTTATTTATTTAATTTTTGGTTACCTATGTTTTTGGTGTCATATCCAAGAAATCATTGCCAAATCCAGTATCATGAAGGTTTTCTCCTGTGTTTTCCTCTAAGAGTTTTTTTACTTTTTTTAAAAAAGATTTTATTTATTTATTTGTCAGAGAGAGAGAGAGAGAGAAC